TAAAATAAATCATGTGAATAATGTAAAAATATGTAAAACTGGCTTATCTTTTCTAATATACAATCATACTTGAGTTAAATCGCAACTGGGTTATATCACAACCTGAGTTAATCCCCATATTTAAGCAAGATAAATCTCCCCTTTTTATATGTTTATATATATATTATATATTGAATTATATTCCTAACTTAGTTATATCTCCGGAAAAAGAGGGATATAACTAGTGCTCTGAACAGGTCGGTTCGGGTTGGGTTATAGGCCAACCAGAACCCGACCCGAAATTTCAGTTCGGGTCGTGTTGAAAACTTTTGGGTTAGCACTTCAACCCGAACCAAACCCGACCCGACCCGACCCACTCGAACCCAACCCGAATTTTTAAGGCCAACATACCAAAATTTTAAAGTTTACTAGTATGTAACCCGTCACTTACGCTGACAGGCTGTTGTTAAGTTATAAATAGGATAGATTTTACTATATATATAAGAAAATAAAATATTGGAGCTTATTGTAAAAATGGCAGGATATATATGCAGAATCATTCAAGGTGACGCCCTAAAAGTGCCATGATATCACTTATAGATTTTTATACATTCTTAAATGTGTGCCAGGTTTGTGATGTAGTCAAAATTCTTTAAAGTTTGTTAAAGCTTTTATTATGGTTAGAGGTTAGGAGAGTATTCAGTAAAATTATTCAAGGAATACTTTTATTAGTCGCGAAGAGTAAGAAATAAATGATGTTTGACAAAACAGATGTTTGTGTTATATTGTATCTGATCTTGAAATCTGATTTGTAGTTCAGACAATCTGTGTCACAAACCTGGTACAATAATGTAGATTAATATGATGCGCAGAATATACAAAATTTTTCAACCCCTTGTAATAACAACTAATCGAATTTCAGGATCAGGTGTAACGTGAAATCGAGACGAAGCAAAAAACAAGAATAGCTCTAAATTTTAATTAGGAAACCACCTTTTGTGGTCTAATGAAAAATGTTCCTTGTAAAATTTTACTTATAAATGTCACATTATCCTAGTCCTAACCCTAACTATAACGTGGTTTTCTTAACTTTAATTTGCACATAACTTTTTACTTAGAAAACAAACATGTTTGTTTTGACTATCACGTTACACCTGATCCTGAAATTCGATTGGTCGTTATTACAAGGGTGGAAAAAATTTTGTGAGATAGCTACCTAAAATTAGAAACATATGATGCACAGATCTATTAAATAATTACTATTTTTGTTTGATACAAAAGTTAATATAACTATATGCAGATAATTCCCTTAGGCCATGCAAAGTTGAATTTTCGTTTTTCATTACCCGCTGACCCATTTGTTTTTTAAATTTTCAATTTTTTTCTTTTTTTTTAAGTCCCAATTGTGCCAATTATTCTATTTTTGCCATTTAAAATTTTTCAAAAATTAATCCGGTATTACCCAATAGTGACCTTATTTTCTCGATAGAACTGACAGAAAAAAAATTCAACTGCCAACCCAATTTTCTAATTCCATGTTATAAAAAACGCAAAAAATAACCTTTTGAGACATTAAATGTGAACATGAGCCTATTAATTCACTAGATTAAAAAAAAATAAAATCCGACCAACCGACCAGGAATTTTGAAATCCAAGTAATGCAAAACAAAAAATCAACTTTGCGTGACCTTATATTCTTATACTGTTATCAAATATCAAATGCAAATAAAACAAAGACTAAACTAAATAAAAATTTTGTGTTGGGTCGGGTTGATGCTCAACCCAACCCGAAATATCGGGTTGGGTTTCAGATTGGCCTGACCTGATTCGGAGCACTAGATATAACCCAGGTATGACTGTATGTGCGTAGAATTTGAAATAAATTTTTATTAAATTATATATATATCATTTGAATACAATATCTCTATCTATGCAGTAATTTTAATTACAGGCTCTGCTGTTTTGTAATTATTAAATAAAGTTTCTTTTTTCTTAACAACAACCAATTTGGTACGTTAAATGGCCGAAATCACTGGGTAAGATAATCTACTGCTTAATTCAAAGACTACTATTTGGAATGTTTTGTGCTTTATGAATAACTATTTTATAAGTAGTAAATTTGCTCCTATACTAAGTATCCTTTAACTACCTCATAGCACTTACTAAATAAAAATTTTGCATCTCACAGCTCAGTATTAAGTGTAGTAGAAGTAGACTTTCATTCAAATCTTGTGCACATGCCTTTGATATTTGTACTTCTGGTTTAGACTCAATAAAGAAATATTTCTATGCTAAACTAAAGGTTAAGGAATAACATTACAACTTTACTAAAAGTCAGAGAAAACCAGAGGTTCTGCCGAAAGTAAAGCCAATAAAATCAGATATTCAAATATCTCAAGAACTATTGTTTACATAGTGGTAATTTTAAGCTTAAAACATTTATAAGCTTGCTTAATTTACCTAAATATAAGTCTCTACAAAACGCATTGTAGTATTTATTACAAATTATCCACAGCTGATCTGCAGTAATTTAAACTCAATACAAATATCACATGAACTAATGCTTAAATAGTGATTATTTTAGGCTTAAAGAGCTTCTATAAACTAGCCTAATTTGCCTAAATAAAATTTTCACAAAAACACTTGTTGGTATATTTGCTACAGATCAGCTATAGCTGATCTGCAGTAATTCAAACCAAATAACTTGACTTCAATTATCTCACGAACTATCGCATAAGTAGTTATGTTTTTAGACTTAGAGGAGTTCTAGAGAGCAGCCTAATTCACCTAAGCATAAATTCTTCACAAAACGCTTGTTTGTAGAATATTTGCTGCAGCTCAGCCATGGCTAAGCTGCAGTAATTTAAGTCACGGCTAAACCAGCTGGGCTGGCTAAGCCGGCTTGATGCACTAGGCTGCAAATAGTACATATTAACTGAAGACTAGATTAGCTAGATTGTAAATACGAAAGACTCTAGCAGGTTTACCTTTAGAATAAAGGGCTCTAAAGAGCCTGCTTTAAAGTTCCAAATCAGGTATTTGAAAATAAGAAAGTACTAAATACTCTTGCTCAGTTAGATGATTAATATATATAGGTGCAGAAAGTTTAAATAGATAACCTTCTAGTTGGTTATAGGATGATATCTAATGTAGAATTTAGTAATAAGTGGACTACTTTAATAGGCAATCAAAAGTTGTATATGTGGTTAGTTATACTCTCTAAATATGTATATAATATATATACTTTACTGTAAAAGTTAATAATAATTAAATAAAAGAAATGTGACCAAGAGGTCATCTTAATATCAAAAAAAAATATATATATAAAGAATAAAGTGATGGTATCACCAACTAAACTATCTATACATCCAATATTTACTTATAAATATTAGTTAAAAAAAAGATGATCTTTAATACCATCTTCAACACCACCCTTCAGCATTACTTTCAGAATTATTACAAGTATTTTTGTCATCATTATCATTACAAGGCTCTTCATCTTCAACAATACAAGTATTTTTACCTTTTGTGCCATTACATGTTACTTCATCTTTAGCATTATTACAAGCTACATCACCTTCAGCACTATTACAAACTATTTTGCCATCAGCACCATTATAAATTTCTTTATATTTGGCACTATTATTATCAATATCTTTATTACAATCTAATTTAATACAACAGCTAAATTTTTTTTAATATTCAATGTATCCAAGACAATTTCATATTCTATTGGCAATTTATAATCTATTCATATCATATTTTCTATCACAATTTCATGAAACCTTTTCAAACACCTATTTAGCTATCTTTTTAACCAAGTTTAAATCTGCATTTGAAGTGTTTTTAAAGTATATTGATAAATGCAAAGACACTAAAAATTATTATCAAAGATTTTTATTAAAATTTCAATAACAAAAGATCTCTATATGATTGCTTTCTAAACTATTAAATGAAGACTTTGAAAAATATGATAAAATAAATTAGTGTACAGCAAACTCTTCGTAATTATGCTGCAAAATACAATATATATTTTACATCATTAAGCAATATATTTTCTATAGAAAAACCCTTTACTTATAATCTGCTACATTAAAAAATTATTAGAAAATTCAAAGGTAATTTGAAAGCATGCAACCAATAATAAATATTTTAAATCCAAACAACTTTCTATAAAACATCGCAGATTAAAATGAAATATAATCAAAATGAAACTGGAGACCTCTCACACCCATCCTTAGAGTCTATAAAATCTATATATACTCATTTATTAATAAATCTAATTCTAAATCCTACTCCTAATGCTAAAAAAACCTCAAAAAATGTTTCCGAAATATTTTAAATTTTCTTAAAAAACAGAAAAATTTCATTTTGATCAGATTTCATTTTAATTTGTAACATGAAATATTGATAAGTTTTAAAAAACTTTTTATAGTTAAGAAAGCTAATTTTATCAGATTGAGATCAGGAGAATATGGAGAAAGGAACTTTATATGTATACTGAATACATTTAAATATTCTAACAATCTGTTATCATGATATATTCTAATATTATTGAATATTAAAACACTTCCTATATGTAAGAATATATTTATTTGTGGTAGCTAAAAGACAATTAAAAATGTAATTATAATTTGTATAAATAAATATTATTATTATAATTACATACCACTTGAGTAATTACAAATTCTTTAAATTTCAACTTTGTACAACTGTTTTCCATAATATCAACAGCAATAATACTATCTAAAGTAAGTGCAGGCAAGATTGTATACCACTTAGGGAGCTGACACTTATTACGTAAATTCAACCCCCCTCCAGCATCAGCTATTTGACAATAACTTGTTCTAAAGTAATCATAGTGAAAACTTTATATAATTGGTTATTTTAGAACTTGCAATTGTTAAAAGATTGATTACTTTAGAACCTGTTATTGTCAAATAGCTGACGCTGGAGGGGGTTGAATTTATGTAATAAGTATTAGCTTCCTTACCACAAAGAAATACTATTTTTTTTAATAGCTTTAGTATTTATTGTGAATATCCATAAGCTTTAACAATAGTTCATTCATCTTTTGATGATTTGTCTAAAAAACTAATTGTTCTCTTTTGTATTGGAAACTAATATGTGCCATAAAGGCATTATAAAGTAGTTTGTTGCACTCTTTGGCTACTTTATATTGCTAAATAAAAATATTGAAGATTATATTACTTTATACGTACTTGTACTAATTATATCAAAAAATACATTTTTTAATGAAATTCCACAATAAGTCAACGAATGCCACAGAGTAGAAATTGATACTTTTTTGCCTGATCGAATTTCCATTTGTAATGCAATTTCATCAAAATATAAGCTCACATTTTCTTGAATAATATTTCATAGAATCTATTATTAACAAAATTAATATGCAGTAATAAAAATACAATAATAAAAAATTCTCATGATTAAAAGTTTTATGCCGTCCAGGTACTTGTTGCCAAGAATTAGTTACAGTTCCCATTATTTATATATTCTCAACACTTTATACACCAAGCTTTTACTAATATAAAGGAGTTTTGCAATTTGAGATATTGAATAGTTATCATAGTGTAAAAAAATTATATGCCATTTCAAGTCATTACTACATGCAAAAACCATATTAAAGAAAAATAAGAAATGAAAGAAAGTAATACAGTTGTTAGAACGTTTATTTGTAAATTAATGAAGCATTACATTTTAAGAACATAAATTTAAAATCTTTAGAAATTGCAAAATCTCCGATTCTCACATGAAAAAAATGATCTGCAGTGTTCACATCTTTTTGAAAGCACAATAATTGATTTAGTAAATGATTTATTTTCTTCGATTCTTCAAAATGTCGTTGCAATCTCGACAACTAAAAAATTCTTTTAGACATAAAATTCAATAAACAAAATATTCTAAAAATGTACATCGATTGCCGTAACCAAATTCCATTAATAATAATAAACGAAAAAAAAGAATGAAAATCGAAATGAAATTATAAAAACTAATCAAGAAAAAATTTTTATAATTCTGAATTCAGAATGCAACAAAAAAAATATTGAAGAAAATATAATAAATTACCATGCATAAATTGGAGGATTATAAAGACAATGGAATATTCAAAATGCTTAGAAAAACGTAATTATAATACTTTCTGGATGTAATAGACATTACTTTATTGAGTTATATTCGAAGTAAACAAAATTGGGTTGTATTTTTTTTGTTCAAGTTACATGAATTTTTGTGCTCGACAAATTTGACACGTGATGTTCAAAATTTTTTTGGGTGGCGATTTTACCCCGGTCTATTTAGATCATAATCAAAATTAGCCTTAATGTTAATCGTATATACGTGCTGTGCGATATTTAGAAGCTGATCGTACTGGTCCTCTGTATAAATGCGTGCTGAAATTCAAACAGGAAGTTAAACCAAAAATCAATAATCAAGTTGTATTGTTGCAATTTCCTTTTTTGAATTTCTGCACCCGTCTATAGTCCTATTCGGCACAGCGTGCTGCACAGTTATCTTATTTAATAGAAACAAAACTTTATTTTTAATGAAAAGAATTTCAATAAATAAATTTCCAAATTGAAATATATTATTAATAAACAATATGTATATGGAACTAGAATATAATGAATCTGATTTTATTCATTAGAATATTGACAAAATCAGAAATTTGAATGAGTCAAAACCGTGCAATTAAATTAAATATGATTTCGATAATCACTAAAATGATGATCTAATTTAACCTAAACCAATTTAGTATATGTTGCATCCATTGTAATGATTTATAATTTTTTGCAAAAAACAATAGAAGTATAACAACAATATATATAAAAACAATAATAAATATATGTACAATACTAGGCAAAACATTTGGGTTAACGGGGTTATCAGGCACAACAATGGGGTTAACGGGGTTATCAGGCACAACAATGGGGTTAACGGGGTTAACAGGCACAACAATGGGGTTATTGGGTCCTACTGCCAACGCTTTGCTATTTAATTGAGTATCGTGATCAAAATCATAATTAAATATACAATTATTATGATTAAAGGCACAAATAAGCCAGCATATAAATGCAACCCAGCATAAAACAATTATTGCGATAACTGTAATACGATATCCTTTTTCAAACATTATTTTTATTCCAGCGACCCCTTTTTCCACATTTTGAACATTCAACATTATGCCACTATTTGACAACAAGCTTCGTCTAGCCATGACTCCAGATGCAATAATTCCATACATTAATTCAGCAAATCTATTTTGCACCTGACTTACATTATTTTCATTGGAATTCACACATCCAACTGAATTTTCTATACATTGAGGCATTAAAATATGACCACCATATATAGCAAGTGATTTATGCATATAATCACCATATACTGGTTTTGGGCTTGAATAATTTATTCTCTCATCATTGAGACCAGCCCATCCTTTTACAGCAGCACATTTGTCATTACATCCAGCTGGTACAGAAGAAACATTCTCAACATGTGTGTTCATGAAGCAAGGGATTTTTTTACCGATTGTTGAATAACATAATTTAAAATTTCCAGCATTAATACTATCTTCACATATTGAGTTAAAAGCTAAAATTTGTACGAAATTAACAGTTAATATTGTCGTTTCGTTAAGGCTGTCTTGTTCAAGACTTATAACCTCTGCTATCCATCGATTCTCTAGCCAAGAATCCTTTTCTACGGCCTTTGATAAATTCATTATTGTTACATTCATTGGTCCTGTATTTAATAAGCTGCGGCGAGTAAAATTATTAAACCCTGGAAAATTAGGAGGGTCTTTGGGATTACATATAATAGACAAACCAAAAACTGGAATTATTTTATTATTATCCTTATCCTCTACTAATCTATAGTTCTTACTAGTATCATTATCTACTGCTGCAACCATCACTTTCCTTTTACCATTCAGATCATCTCCCCAGTTTGAAGCTAATTGTTTAGTGACACCATTTATTAGTACATTGGCAGCTCCCTGAATCCACATAAACCTAAATCTATCTTGTAACAGTTCTGGACATGATTCATCTCCAGGGCCGCATGGTGTTAAAGGATCAACATTAAAACTGTTGCTATAGGTTGGCAATAAGCCTGGAGTTGGCGAAGTAGTTTTTATTGCAAATGAAATACCATTGAGCGCTATAGATAAAGCAGCAATAGTGCCAAAAAATATAATAAATCTCAACCATCCGTTGACCAGAATATTTCTAAATAATTTAATACGTTCAAATATAGTAAAAATTCCAAGCACCTGACTATTTGCAGCTGCTAGCCTTAAGTCGTCATCATTAGGCGCATTTTGAACATTTGGATGGTTACTCATAAACCAATTAAAGATTGCATTTAATATATCTGCGACTGAATATGTTATTATATAAGTTACTATAAGTGGTATACCATGTATCAATGCATTTCCAACAGGTAAAATCATTTCCCCAAATTCCAGAGTGCATATTATTATTGATGTTAATAAAATTAATTTAGCAAGTATCGTAATAAAATTGGGACTAGGCCCAAACCACACACTCATACTGTATGTTTGAGAAATTAAACTCGAGAGATCTAATAATTCACTTTATATATAGACATTGAGTAGGTTACAATTTTATTGAAGAAATAAATAGATTACAATTTTATTGAAGAAGTAAACAGATTACATTCTCAATGAATTCTATTAATCAGACGGACAAGTAAGATTCTCTGTTGAGACCATTGAAGGTGATTGAGAACACCAAAATACAAGTAAATGTATGATAAATAGTTCTTATTTTACATGTAATATTAACATTTAATTTTTTAATAAATTTTTAAAAGGCAATTACCAATAAATATTTATATTTGTATTAGTAATACATTATTTTTATTATTAAACAAACTATTTTGTTTACCAATTAAATTTGTTTTAGCTAAAACACAAATCCAGAATGATCATGTGTTTACATACAAACCATATATAATTTTATTTAGTAAAAAAAATAAAACCAAGTTTTTCCAAAAAAAATGCGTTCAACTAAACCAAATCCAAATCAAATAAAATGAAATCAGGTAGTTTAGCAAAACAGAAAGCCTCGATGGTATAAACAAATTTAAAATAGAAAAATTTATGCGATACAAAATACGAGTTGATTATACAAGTGAATATCACAAATTTACAATGTCATGATAATAAATATAGTAGTAAGTTTTTATTTTTAAACCGATGACCGAACAAGGAATTTAATACATTGTTATATAATTAATTTTTAATATGTTTTTGATCAAGTAACTTAATACATTATTATATCATTAATTTTTGAATGTTTTTTGGATCAAGTAATATTCAATTTCACTCGTTTTTTTTTGCACTTAGAACATTCTTTATGCTTATGTGTTCATCGCAAAGTATGTTTTATCTAGATCTATGTAAAATTTTTATGTAAAGTTATGTAGAATTTTTATCAAATTTTATAAAGCTTTATTAAATCCAATGTTGATTTGTCGATGTACAGTACGAAAAACCACATAATATACAAATACAGTAACCAATACAATCTGTTCATTATCAGTTAAACAATATTTCTTTTCCTCACAAACATTCAACTCCAACATTTTAAAATTGGTTCATAAAAATATTGCGCATATTCGGTTGGTTTTGATTATTATAGATGGATTAATGTTTTCCTCACGGTTTTGCGAGGGTGTGTACTGTACACACTGTATGCAAAAAAAAAAAATTCAAGTATCCTATAAATGGTATGACTCTAGGTACGCATATGTGCACTATTAGGACAGATGATTAACTGGTAGTAAATATTTACTAAAAGCTTGTAGAGGATGTTAACGAAGGGCATCAATGAGTAACGTCAATAAAGGATGCCCTATAAAAAAGTCTGTATAGTTATTGTATGCATTGTTCAAAAAAAGAACCTTAAGAGTTGATATTATGTAAAAAAGAAATTTCTGAATTACAACATTACGTATAAACATTGTACAAAATCAGCATATGTTCGGAAAATAGATCCATTCGATTCGAACATTTTTTTGAAAAAAAAAATCAGAATAATTTTTAGAATTTTTAAATAAACAATTCTTGTTGCAACCAGTAAGAATTAATAATAAAGAATTATTGAAATGATATAAATATAAATATTTATTATAATGTATTTATGCCTAAACTAACTGCATTATTTATTTAGTGCAAGTTTTTTTGATTACATAATGTATGTACGAATTCTCATGGAAAAACATTACAATTATACAATAGAGGCATCATAATACTGTAAACTCTCTTTAACTGTAATTCGTTGGAATAGAACATTTCAAGAGTAAAGTTTTACATTTAAAGAGAAGTTGCATTTAAAGGATGCAAAATTTATACTGCTCAATATACATTGAAAGAAAATTTTATTGAGCTTCTTATAAAGAATGTACACTTAAGATGAATCGATTGTATAATAACGCAAAACCATAAGAAAATGACTTTCAATCAGATATATGGATTCAGATACACTTATTTTAACCTGGGTTAAGTTACCTAAGCTATTACAAATGAGTGTAGCCTGTGAAAACTTGTAAATTATACCTTTTGATATTTACTTTTAATAGAAATATATTAAAAAGCAAAGTAATTAACTACTTAAGATTTTAATGCCGTTTAAATTGGCTTATTAAGGCAATTCAAATGATACTAAAATAATTATTATTAAGTTATATAATTTTACAATATTTTTATTAAAACTTAATATTAAAAAGCATAATTTACAAGTTTTCACAGATCATCACTCAAATATTATTATACTGGGTAACTTTAATCCGGGTTAGAATAGAATACTTATACATTTTATTGCATTCTATCCTTAGTATCATTGCACTCAGTTCGTTGTATTCGTTACATCCCATTTCTAATATTTTTATTTTGATTGAAAGTTAGTTGATATAATACAAACTGGTTTCATTAACCTTGTATCACTGCTGCACTGTGTATCTCAAAAATTTAAACAAATGCATTAAAAAAGAAAATCACCTTGGGTTATATGCATATCCTTAAAAGGAAGTAATTATGCAAGAAACCAATCATTTTGGAATGCGTACGTACATACGTACAACATTACATAAAAGGATGTAATCATGAATACTACGTATAACAAGTATTGAGCCTTAAGTTGTCACATATAGTTCGAATTACAAACACCAGGAAAATCATTATGTGTCCGGAGCGTATCATATGATATTGTCTCATTGCACAAACGCGTGAATATTCAATCTTTGATGTGATCTTCATATAATGTTTATACATATGCATCAAAAAGTCAACTTTTTTGCAACATTTTCGTTTCACTTGTCGACCAAGGGTCTTCCATTACGGCTTATTTTGATCGCTCCGGATCAGCCCGACATGAATTCCAAACACGTGCGAAAGAAATACTCAAAACTAGTGTTTAAATCGACCTTGGTGCACTAATTAAAAATGTCGGGAACGAAATTTTAATGAGTAATAGTCTACGGCTATAGCTTCTAACTTTAAAGTTTAAACCCTAAATTTGTGTTTTTATGTACTTTGTTTATTTAACAAAATTAAATCTCCTTTTTTGGCACCAATAAATATTTTTGTTCCGGACTCACATGGTTTCCGGCTCCAAGTTATATTTATATCGTATTAGCTGTACATATATGTTACTATAATTGTAACTACTAGTATCTACTGCGCATCTGATGCAATGATTAATAGCTATATTTATTTGCATTAATCAAGCAATTGCTTATTTGTATTTATCACCATATCAATGCATAATATTAACTAGCAGTTACAAGCCTAGTAACCTATATACACAACTAATATGATACAAATATGGATCAAAGAATATAAAATAAAATTAAATAAAAAATTTTTTAATCTTGTTAGCCATTATTACGCTGGCGACGTTATACGTGCAATTGCTAGTTATAAAATAAGTAAGGAAAGAAAAGTGGTGATCATACAGTGGCCTACCATATAAGTGTGGACACTTTTTGGATCGTGATTGCTCAAGAACGGGTAAGTATGCGCAGCACG